GCTGGATTTTAATGTAAGAGGAAAACAGGAGATGGACTTTTTCACTGGAGGAAACATTATTATGGATAGAGTTACAGTTTAAAGTTAAAACGTCTTGATGGATTTGCTTCTTACAAACATGCAGCTTTTGGCTTCACAAGACATTAACTGATGAACTGGAGTGGTGTGGATAACTTGTGATGTTTTTATCAGCTGTTTGGACTCTCATTCTGACGGCACCCATTCACTGCAGAGCATCCATTGCTGAGACACTGATTCAATGCTACATTTCTCCAAATCTGATGAAGAAACAAACTCATCCTAATCTTGGATGGCCTCAGGGAGAGTAAATTGTTATGTTGGGTGAACTGTTCCTTTAAGGAAAACAAAACCCACAGTAACAAAAGTGCAATGGCTACTTATTCCCGCTGACAGCTACTGAACGACTGACTTCAGCTTGGCTTCTCTGAGATGTAGTGGCAATTTAATTAAACACTTTTATAGTGAGAACAAATCTCAAAGCAGCACCAAATTAATCACATCTTCTCGACCTCCCTCGAGAACTTCAACAGTGGTGAATGAAATGCAGTAGAGCTTGCTCTTAACATTCAGTACTTTGCACTGAGGGTGATATGAGTTTATGACACAGTTGTGGCTCAGTTCCAGATTAACGGCATTAGAGCCAGTCGCTCGGCCCCGGGGCCCCGGCCAAACCTTGCATGGCCTTTCTGTGAACACACAGAGGACAAGCATCCAAAATACAACCAGACCGAGGCAACTGTGGCTTCTGTGAAACACAAAAGGAGAAATTCTGACGTATCTTTACGCAACTCTTATTCACATGACACTTCATCGTGACCACATGCGTTAAAAAGCCATTGCATGACTTCAGAAGACACGAAATATACAGCATGAGTCAATGTGGACTAGTTTTATGATGCCTAACAGGCATTTTATTGCATAGATGATATAATGTTAATTATTACATAACATTGACATAATATTAAATGCTTAGTTGTATTATAAAAAGCTCTGTAGTTTTAAAACAATGTAATGCAATACAATGGACGATCGAGAGATAAACATTCCTCAAAAGCCTGCTGGACGTTGACTTATGCATAAGAACTAAAATGATGTTGTGCTGCAATGGAAAAATAACAGCATACAGGTTTAGAATTCACATGAAAGTGAGTAAATGATTAAAAGCATGTTGGAAATCAACAACTAAGTTCGCCACAATCACTTTAACACGATATATATATATATATATATATATATATATATATATATATATATATATATATATACACATTTTTTTTTTTTAATGCTTTAAAAATACATATTCATATTTTTAAAATGTGTTAAAAAAAAAAAAAAATTTGCCAAAAAATATATTGGTAGAAAACATATTTACCTAAACATATTTTGAAACAGAAATATATGGAGGGAAAAATATCATTTTAAATGCTTTAAAAATATCTATATATTTATATTTTTAAAATATACTTTCAAAATGATCATAAAAATAGCCAAAAATATATAATATATTTATGTACATATATTTGAGCAAATATTTAGAAATTTGAAAATATATATTTTTTGCTGTAGTGTAAAAAGTGCTTTTGTGTTTTATAGAGCAATGCACTTATTATCTAGCAATGCACTTGAGTCTGTTATTTGAAGTGTAAATGTGGCAGGGTCGGGTCATTAACCGGTGGCTCTGGTCACACAGAAGTGGAACTGTTTTTTTATTTTTCACAGTGCTACAGTTTTCTCAGCAGCGCCGTGTTTACAGAAACCCCTTTGTCCTGATTCATCCAGGACTTTCAGTTCAGCAGAGAATATTTTTGAAAATATACAAAAAAATGGCCAAAAAATAAATTTGTAGAAAATATATTTACCTAAACATATTTTGAAACCGAAATATATGGAGGGCAAAATATATATATTAAAAGTATATTTTTAAAACATATTTTTAGAAATATACAAAACAATAGGTAGAAAATATATTTATGGAAATATATATTTTTGGCCATTTTTGCATATTTTCAAATATATCTGAAATGTATAAATATTATATTTATTTATTAATTAATTTTTTTTGTTCTCAGATATGGTGTATGGGGCATTTCTGACTGAGAACACGTGTGAATCTCCTTTAGTCAAGGATAAAACCAGATACCTGATCACATGTGCGCCGTATGTGGCGGAAACCTGGTTTTCAGGGACGGGTCTGTTATATAAGCTACACACTTGTGCGTTGATAACAAACAGACACTCACATCCCACTCGGACACTCACGCAAACAAGCTAATGATCAACAGATGTGCGCTTGAGTAATCGCACACAAGCGGCGCTCAGTGTTTGGCTGCTGAAGGGGCGTCACTGAACGCAAGGAGACAAACGCTGAGAAACCCAGCTTACTGTATCGCTGGAATGAGTCGCAGATCTGTCTCGGTTTAAAGTCTCTTCAGCTCACAGAGGCTGCTTTTATTTGATCAAAAATACTGCAAAAATGTGAAATATTATTATAATTCAAAACACCTGTTTTCTATGTGAATATGTGTTAAACTGTAATGTATATCTGTGATGTGCAGCTGTATTTTCAGCATCATTCCTCCAGTCTTCAGTGTCACATGATCTTCAGAAATCAGTATAATATGCTGATCTGCTGCTCCAGAAACATTTCTGATTATTATCAATGCTGAAAACGTTAATATTTTTGTGTAAACTGTGATGCATTTTATTTTTCAGGATTCACAGATGAACAGAAAGTTCAAAAGAACAGCATTTATTTGAAATAGACATCTTCTGTAACATTATACATGTCTTTACTCTCACTTTTGATCAATTTAATGCATACATGATGAAAAAAAGGATTTATTTAATTATTAATTTTTTTAAAACACAAATTTGTTGATGGTAATGTATGTTTGGGTGAGAGGGATTATTAGATGGGATTATTAGACCACGGTAAAAGTTTACATCAGGTAAAATCATAGTAAAATTACCCACAGTGGCTTTATTGCTTCAATAAAACAGTGCCAACAGCAACATAAAATTACAATTATTCATAATATTAATTGTTGCTTTGCAGAAAATTTGCACAGAATTCAAAGATCCATCAATCTTCTGCCATTTGCATTTGTTTGTTTCTTAAATATTCTTAATCCAGAGTTTCCCATAAGAAATGCTATCTGAGATTATTCATAATCAGAATAAACTATTCTTCCAGTAGATAGTCCAGTTCATCAGGTTTATGCTTGCATTGTTACTCAAAATAAAATACAAAATGACTGATTCACAGCTACATTCAGAAACATTTCTCATGTTAATCTAGTTTGGCTTCATCTACTAAAATAACTAAAACTGAAACAAACATTAATAAAAATTACATAGACATCTTCTAACTACTAATAAAAAACTATAGTAGTATCTCATTGATAGTAAAATAACTGCAACAAAATTACAACAGTCGGTAGAGCCTTTTATAACTTAAAAATAATGTACATTTATATTATAATATCATGCTTTTGCTGATGATTCACGCTCATTTTCAAAGGCGAGATCCTGATGTGTAACAAATGTAACTTATATTAATTAATTAAAAGGTAGTGGGAGCGTTGTTTTGAAATGTTTCTAAAATGTTGAAAAGTCCAGTTTTGATTAGAACGTTATTTAAAGGTTACAAAAATGTTTCTTATAACATTCTACCAACTTCATTTTCACCCAAAATAGAACGTTATTTGAGCGTTTATTTTCAATATTCTAAGAACATTAAAACGCACAGTTTTCTTGTTGTGATTAGAACGTTATTTAAAGGTTGCAAAAACGTTTCTTAGAACATCCAACGAGTACAAATGACATCATAAGAGCATTCCATAAACGCTACTTTAAGAACGTTTTGTCCAAACGTTAATATAACTTTTAACAAACGTTAGTGAAAGTTGTGAGAACACTCCCTGTTAGCTGTGTGCACATGTTTGGAAGCCTTCATCTACAGTGGAGACCAAAATTAGAGAACAATCTATAAATACTGATTTAGAACAATCTATTCATCTTCATCGCTTAAAATTTGAAGTTATATTAGCTGTGGGTATGCCACTGTTATACTAACATGTTGAACTGATGAGCAATTCCAGCTGCAGTGCTGAACCGATTCCCCACTGAGAGTCTCTGCATTATCCTCTCGTGCATTTGTCTTAAAGGGGTCATATGATGCTTTTTTAAAGATCATTATTTGGTGTAACAGAATATGTTGACATGCTTTAATGTTCAAAAAACACATTATTTTTCAAATACTGTACATTATTGTAGGTCCTCTATGCCCCGCCTCTCTCAAACGCTTCGTTTTCTACAAAGCCCCTCCTTCCGACAAGCGCAGTCTGCTCTGATTGGCCAGCTGACCCAGTGCATTGTGATTGGCCGAACACCACAAGCACGCGTCGGAAATGTAACGCCCCTTACCATAATCACCAGCTTCATCTTTCAAAATAAATGTAAAGACAGAGCCTGAAAGGGGAACAGAGTCCTTGAATGAATTAGAGTCATTGCAAAGCTGCAATATTCAAGAAATTACAGATTTGGAACGACCAGTTTCTGAAAGTGTCATCCCTTTGGCCTTCATCTGGACCGCCTCCTGTCGCAGGGTTTCAGTCACTTTAGAGCAACCCGCCATCTTTCAATCTCAGTGAAAATTAGAGGAATGCTGCCAGAAATATAATTAATGAAATTAGCACCAGGTGCCAGATTCACACCAATAACTGGGAGGTATCTGTAAGTGTTCTCTAATTTTGATCAGAGTTCTTTTTCAAATATCTCATTTACTGTGCTTCAGAATACAATTAATTTATGAAATATGCTAATACGCTAACTCCTGTTAGGATAACTTCAAATGGGACTAAACAGTGACCTTGAAATTTAGGACATTGTAGGTCGTTCTCTAATTTTGAGCTGCACTGTACATCAGACGCGTTTCAAGCGTCCTGTTCAGTGTGAATGCGTTGGAAACGCTGCGTTACCTGCGGCTCGCTGGCACTGACTGCGGTTGGCGTACGTGAAGTGATCGTCGCAGCTCTGAGACGAACAAACACAGCCGTCGGCCGTCAGATTGCAGCCAGAAAACACACACGCCGGGTTCACGGGACCCACAAACCTGTGTCTGTGACGGAGAGAACCTGAGAAACACAGAGTTACAGGTCAAACACAGGCTAGTGATGATTAACAGACCATGAATAATGCAGCGTATAAATCGCAACGGACATTGTAGGTCGTTCTCTAATTTTGATCTGCACTGTACATCAGACGCGTTTCAAGCGTCCTGTTCAGTGTGAATGCGTTGGAAACGCTGCGTTACCTGCGGCTCGCTGGCACTGACTGTGGTTGGCGTACGTGAAGTGATCGTCGCAGCTCTGAGACGAACAAACACAGCCGTCGGCCGTCAGATTGCAGCCAGAAAACACACACGCCGGGTTCACGGGACCCACAAACCTGTGTCTGTGACGGAGAGAACCTGAGAAACACAGAGAGTTACAGGTCAAACACAGGCTAGTGATGATTAACAGACCATGAATAATGCAGCGTATAAATCGCAACTTGGACGCATTTCTGGTTCAATGAATTTAAATACATTTAGGTTCAAATAACTTTATGCTGAACATAAACGATGTAACACGATAGTTTACGTAAAGATATATCATGAATAAACCTGTTAAAACACGTCCCAGAAGAGCTACGCACATGTCTATTTTGGGACGTGTTCTAATCTGAACGCAATGAAAAGAAAGGCAATAAAAAGATTATTGTGCCGATACTAATAAAATCTATATGTTCAATGTGTTAAATAATGTTCTTAGTCTTTCTTTCCTGTGATGGATCGGTTCAGAGTTGATTTAAATGCCAGATACTGTTTATTGTGTAACCAAAATACTAATTATAATTAGAAAAAAAGATTTATACATAATGAGGGGCTTTTAATCATAAACAAGCTTGAAATACACTGGGACTCTTATTTTGAAATGTTTATCTTTACTACTTCCGACTGCTCGTTCAAAAAGATGAGAGAAATATGGGAACCAAAACATCAATAATAACCAAAAAAGAAATAAATACATACAATTTTAAAAAGATTTTATGCATAATGAGGCACTTTTAATCGTAAACATTACTAAATTATATAGGGACTCTTACTTTGAAATATCTATACTTTACTACTTCCAGTTGCTCATTCAAAAATACCAGACAAATATGGGAACCAAAATACCAATTATAAATACCAAAAAAAAAGCATAATGAGTGACTTTTAATCAATGACAAGCCCGAAATACAGTAGGACTCTTATTTTGAAATGTCTATGCTTTACTACTTAAGCTACTCATTCAAAAAGATGAGACACATAAAATATGCATCTTACAACCATCTAAAAACCATAAAGTAAACACTGTAAATTCATCAAAGGTGCATCAATAAGCAATCATTAGACATAAATGTGCAGGATTCACTGACTGCGAACTGCTCTAAAAACACAACAGCGCCATGTTTTGACTTTGAAACGTGCAGCGTTCACATTTATTTAATTGAATCATAGCTTTTTGAAGTTTAATATTCACATATCCATATCACCATGCTGTTTTTCCATCCCCAAATTGACCCATATGGCAAAATATATTTTTTTTCTGCCCAAAATATATTTTAAATATATGTTGTAAACAATGAAGCTCAATGAAATATATTTTAAAAAATTGAAAATATATTTAGTTTCAACCTTCATATACCAAAATATATTTAAAAAGCCTACATTTAGACTTCATAATTTATTTTTATTCAAACGTGTTATATGCTCACATGTGTTAACAGTTTTTCTTCAAATGTGACGTGTGTGAATGTATTTTCTTGGATTAAAATGTATGGAGGGCAAAATTAATTTTTAAATGCTTTTTAAAAAAATTAATTTATATTTTTAAAATATATTTTCAAAAATATAAAAATATATATATATTGGTAGAAAATATATATGCACGTATGTATAATATTTTAGCAAATTTGCTTGGCCATTTTTTGTATATTTTAACTTTTGTTATACTATTTAAGACTCGTTATGCCTTGAATTTGATCAAACCCACAAAGGACCCATGGAAGCCCTGTTATTTAGAGGGTGACATACGCACCTGTTTTCCCAGCATGCACGCATGCGTCTCTGTCGGGAAAGCTGTAGGTCTGGATGCAGGAGTGTTTGGATTCACACACACACTCTCCATCCACGCTCTCACAGCCGCTCACCAGCGGGCAGCGCTCGTCTGCATCCGTCGCGTCGGGTACCGCTGCGGAGAAGAAGACAGCGTTACCATGGTAACCAGACTCGTTTGTCAGGGATGTTTTGTCTCCGTCTCGGCTGTCGCTGAGATTTGTTTGCTTTCGTTCCACAGAATGGCGCCAAACAGAGACGCTTTAACATTGTTGTGCCTGGAAAGATCTCTCAATTGTTTCTCCTAGACAGCAGTGAGATGAAGAGAAAGCGGAGACTTGCGCCTGTTGTTCTCAGATTTACCTTCATTTAAAAGCTTCACATCTAATGTAGGTCAAGTATTCAAACATAATGAATAAAAATTAGAAACGTTGCCTTGGCAAATAACTGAAATAAAATAAGTTGAAGTACTAAAATAACTACAACTAAACTGGAATAAAAAATAAATTAAAGCTAAATAGAAATAATTTTTAAAAAGCACAATTTAAATAAAAACTGAAAACATAAAAAAGCTAATTTAGAAATATGAATAAATACAATCATAGTATACGAATAATGTTAAAATAACACCTTAGTAAACTATACACGTAATAACATTCATATTTTCTGTTTTCACTTTATTTTTAGTTAAATTTTAAGCAATTTTATTGTGTGTTTTTGTCAGTTATTTAAATATTCATTTATTGGTTTTAGTTGATAGTTTTAGTTATTTTAGTACTTCAAGTAAAACCAAACGAAAATTAGAAATGTTGCCGTGGCAACTAGGTCAAATAAAATACATTTAAGCTGAAGTACTAACATTTCTAAAACTAAACTGAAATAAAACCATTATTTTAATAATAAATTAAATCTAAATAGAAATAATTTCATAAAAGCACAAAAATATTATTAAAACAAACTAAAATTTAAATAAAAAATAAATATAAAAATAAAAGCTAATTCAAAATATTAATAAATACTATAATAGTATATAAATAATACTAAAATAACACTAGTAGGTACTGAACTTAACAGTGCTATTTTAGTATCACTGATATACTATTATAGTTTTTGTTAATATTTTGATTTAGACTGTTTTCACTTTTAGTTTTAGTAATTTTATTGAGTGATTTTTTATTTATTTTTTTAATATGTCTATTAGTGGTCGACCGATATATCGGCCGATATCTGCCATTTTTCAAATATCGGCATCGGGCGATATGTTTTTCTGTTTGGCCGATGTGTTCGAGGCGGGACTTTTATTTTGACGGCGCGTCAGACTTTTAGGGTTCTTTCACACCTGTAGATCGATAGCTTTGTTCCAAAACAGGGATTAAAATGATTATGTTGCTTTTTATTCTTGGTGCGGTTCGCTTTCACACGGCAAAGTTTCTAAACGAACCAAATTTGTTAATACAAGTCACGCGCGAGTAAACTGTTGTCTCATTGGTCAATGTTCCACGGTTTATTTTCCGAGATTCCGCTTATTTGTCACGGCTGTCGACAACAGCTTCGCGGGTTGTTTTTTTGTTTTTTTTTGTAGCTGTCCTTATATTAATTTATAATTTTGAGCAGGAGTCCAGGATTCATCGGGAAAATATTTTTAAAATGCACCTACTAAGCAGAAGAGACATAAAAACGGCATTATAAAATTAAAAAGTGCGCTTTTTTATTTTGAATGGCGAAGACGTGCTCACCCACAGACATTCACAGCTTCATTTTGAAGTATTAGCAAAACAACAAAGCTAATGCTTTTCACGGATCTTACGTAATTACCTAATAAGCATTGTGATGTAGCCTGGTTCGTTGGTCCGTTAGATCGGATTGCTTTCTCACAACAACCGAACCGCTCCAGAGTTCGTTTTCAATCGAGCCGAGACCACCTCGTTCATTCTCCCTCTTGTTCGCTGTTGTCATTCAGTTCTGTCTAACACGGATAGAAGTCTAATAATCAGATAGAACTGTTAAACAAAGGAATTAAATTGTATACAAAAAAGTATTCTAACGATTGATTTAATATTATTAAAGGCTAAGTATAATACTTTCTCGTTTGCCGTCAGCATTCCGCAAATACGCATTTATATAATTTAAACAAATCTTTGAATGACTAATGAACATTTAATTTCACAAACCTTGCAGACTTACTCGAATCTAGTTGAGATCTTGTGAAGTGTGCATGTGACCTGCATGATCGCGGGTTCTCTGCGTGACGGTCGGTCCGTGCGAATTGAATACGGACAGGAGGAGAGTTCTTCACTGGAGACCCGCGATCGACAAACTTTAAACTCGTGACTGATTTCAAATTATGCTGCGCTTTATGCATTTGCCCGCTGTCATATTCATGTCATTTTCACTGTGTGCTGTATGTAAAATGAGTGTTATCTTGGCTTTATTTGAAATAATATGATTCCCAATGCACACAAACTTCCCAGAATACTGAGTGCCCTGTTGGTTACAGTGTTTACTTCCTTTTAAATATTTTTACAATATTTTACTTTAATTTGGTTAATACTTATTTTGTATCAAGTAAAAATTTGTATGGTTTTCATTTTAGTTTCAGTTAATCATAGGCTAATAAACCTGTTATGTAAACTAATCTATACTAACGATAAAACCCCAATGAGAAAAAATCCCACTGAGAACATCTGAGGCAAAACTGACTCTTGATGTAAATGAGAAAGAGAAACCTCTGAGTAACAGAATTGTCCTACACTAAAAACAGCTCCAGTCTTTCTTCCTCAGGTTTCTCGTGAGCTCTCCTGGACTCCATGTCCTTCACGTGAATCTCTGTGCTTTTCCTCTGCCATCCGCATGTGTGTTAAATAAGTCTAGGTTCTGGCTGAAGACCCCCCAAGCCCGCCACATGTGAATAAACAAAGACAAAGCGGCTTCAGCAGCTCCTATGGTCCCCCATGATGCTCTCCTGGGGCTTGGCTCACAAACGCTCACCAATCTAACCAGAAGAAAACTGTTCAGGAGACGCAATAGAGATGCATTTCTACTCGAAAAGTCCTGAGGAGAAATAAAAACAGACCTACAGTGAGAGTAGATGTGGAAATCAACTCAACTCTCCCATTGATCTCACTGTCGTCTAGGAGAAACTATTGAGGTATAACGTGTTTTTTGATTTATTATGAGGCCCAAACTCAACTGTACTGGCTAGTACAGTAACCACATTCTTAGACTCTAATAAAACAGTACTGCTATCTAAAGTTTAATTTGGGATTATTTGACAATTTGGACATTATAAACCTCACAGTAACAAAATTTGAATTTTTGGACAAGGTACTATGGAAATACCATGATTTTTTGACATGTACCATGACAATACTATAGTATTTGATGGCAATACCATGTTTTTGGACATGCACCACAGCAATACTATAGTATTTTGGGGTTATGCCATGTTTTTGGAGAGGTACCATGGCAATACTATAGTATTTTGGGGCTAGGCCATGTTTTTGCACATGTACCATGGCAATAATATAGTATTTTGGGGGGCAATACCATGTTTTTGGACATGCACCACAGCAATACTATAGTATTTTGGGGCTATGCCATGTTTTTGGAGTGGTACCATGGCAATACTATAGTATTTGGGGGCAATACCATGTTTTTGGACATGCACCACAGCAATACTATAGTATTTTGGGGCTATGCCATGTTTTTGGACATGCACCACGGCAATACTATAGTATTTTGGGGCTATGCCATGTTTTTGCACATGTACCATGGCAATACTATAGTATTTTGGGGCTAGGCCATGTTTTTGCACATGCACCACAGCAATCCTATAGTATTTTGGGGCTAGGCCATGTTTTTGCACATGCACCATGGCAATACTATAGTATTTTGGGGCTATGCCATGTTTTTGGAGTGGTACCATGGCAATACTATAGTATTTTGGGGCTATGCCATGTTTTCGCACATGCACCACAGCAATACTATAGTATTTTGGGGCTAGGCCATGTTTTTGCACATGTACCATAGCAATACTACAGTATTTTGGGGCAATACCATGTTTTTGCACATGTACCATGGCAATACTATAGTATTTGGGGGCAGAGATGTTTATTCTAAAAGTCCCAAGGAGAAATAAAAACAGATCTTCAGTGAGAGTAGATGTTGATCTCACTGTCGTTGATTGATCTCACTGTCAATTGAGGTATAACATGTTTTTTTTATTTATTATGAGGCACAAACTGGCTAATACAGTAACCTTGTTCTTAGACATGACTGAGCACTGAAACCAAATCAGTCAGATATTGGTGCATTTGGCACAGAAATGTCCAGTTTGTGGAAACCCATGTGCACTGCACCGCAGTTCTTCTCACGCAGACAGCGCCATCACAAACAGGCTTTTCAAACCAGCCGTCGAACACCCTGCCAAAACCTTCCCTATTATTTCCTGTCACCTCAGAATGATCCGCTCCGCCAACGTCTTTTCCACTTGAATACTTCCTGCGAGGATATTTTCATATTTTCACACGACCCCGAACACTGGCGCCCACACAGCACATCTGTTCACGTCTACCGATCAGAGACCGGTTTGTGTTTATCTGCACAGGTTTACCAAACAGAGTCTGGATCAAACTAGAAAATCCAGAAGGATGAATAAACACAGGAAACTTACTTTCCTGTCTCTAATAAAAACAGCTGTCCAAAGTCTAATTTAAAAGTCTAATTTTGGATCACTTGACATCTGGACATCACAGCAACAAACTGCGAATCAAAAGAAGTGTAAAAGTGTCTCTACCAACTAAAAACTCAATGGTCAAACAATGGTCTACTGGACATGGCACTATGGCAATACTATGTTTTTGGACATGTGCCATGACAATACAGTACTATAGTATTTTGGGGGCAATACCATGTTTTTGGAATAGGGGTGGAACGGTTCGCGGAAAAAAATCGAACCATACAGTTCTCCACGCACTAGGACCGCGGTTCAACTTAAATCTGACAAAGCATCTGTAATATACATGCTGTAAATAACACGTAAAACAAATAGGGTTCGGCTAATATATGTTTCTGTTGATGGATGCGCTTTCTGGCTTCCCAATACATTACAACAACAGCGATGAAAAAAAAAACGTGGACAATATGCCATGACAATACTGTAGTATTTTGGGGCAATACTATGATTTTGGAGATGTGCCATGACAATACTGTAATATTTTGGGGCAATACTATGTGTTTGGAGATGTACCATGACAATACTACATAATTTTGGAAAAGGTATTATACAAAATGGGAATCCAAATAAGTGTAAAGGTTTTTCCACTAACTAAAAAGTACCATGATATTATCAAAGGTCTTCTGGATATGGTACTATGGCAATACTATGATTTCCCCCCAGAAACGTACTTGTTGAATGCAGATTAGTCTGTAATAAAAACAGTCTGGTCTAGTGTTGTTATCTAAAGTCCACATGATAACTAGTTTAATCAGTTTCAAGAAGGTTGATAGCAAACATGTTGCGTACTCCTCACTAGTGTGGTTTCTCTTATACTAGTTACGGTCAAATGTGGGAAGCTGATATTTTATCTGTATAAAAAGGTAAACAGAAGGACATGGAGACAGTTTTTCTTGGCATCCAGACAGCTGACATCAAGGACTGACCTCAGAGGAAGTCTCTGAGACTTCTGAAATCAGCCGTTCGGACTGACAGTGATTGAACTGCTAAGATGCATTCATACTGGACCAGTGTTTGGGAAACCTGTTCGAAAACAGTCATTATTCTGTTTGGAGACTCTAGTCGTGCTGAAATAACGCACTGTAGCTTTAAATATGCAATACTGATGATGCAGAGATTGTTAATTAGCACATTTGCAGGTTTTGTTTATAGAACAGAATAAACTGCAGAAAATTATCATCATAACTAACAAATCCATAAATGCTGTGCAAATATTCTGACGGTGTACAACCAAAATCTACACACTTTAAAAAAAAAAACAGGCTGGCATCTGTGGTTCCATGAAGAACCTTTAACAACCATGGAACCTTTCCACTGGACAAAAGGTTCTTTATAGTGGAAAAAAAGCTTATTTAGACTATTAAAATGTTCTTAACACTAAGAAAAATTATTCTTTTAAGAAAGCCTATTTGGGGAACCAAAATTTGTTCTTCTATGGCATTATTGCGAAAACCTCCTTTGAAACCTTTATCTTTAAGAGTGTTGAAGAACCTTTTGAAGAACATTTTAATAATCTAAAGAAACGTTTGTGCACTGTTTCCATGGATGTTCCAAGGTTCTTCATGGAACCATCAATGCCAATCAAGAATCTTTATTTTTCCTTTATTCACAAGAACCATTTTTTCTTAGTGTGAAGAATATTTTAATAATCTAACAAACCATTTTTGCAGTAGAAAAGTTCCATGGATGTTAAAGCGGTCATATGATGTTGCTAAAAAGAACATTATTTTGTGTATTTGGTGTAATGAAATTAGTTTATGAGGTTTAAGGTTCAAAAAACACATTATTTTCCACATACTGTACATTATTCTTTCTCCTCTAATCATGGAAACCTCAGTGATGGGAACCTTTATTTTCAAGAGCGTATGACAAATGGATGTACCCCAAAAAAGACTGATATTCAATATTCAACAAGCTCTTTTCATTTTCATGTCTTCCATTCGCCTTCTGCCATGTCAGAATATAAATAGCCTCATTAATTTCTTTGCTAATGGGGGGAAGAGGTAATTAACGTGATGACAATCATGAATAATGTATTACTATGCTAAAGAGATGCTGGTTAATCAGTGGCTGGAAAATGACAATCATTATTAACCTCACATTTTTGACATGCTCAAAAAAAAAATGCAGCCTAATTTTCCCGCAGACAAACTCAATCACAGCATCCATTAAAGGGTAAGTTCACCCAAAAATGAAAATTAATCCATAAATTACTCGCCCCCTGAGGCATCCTAGGTGTATATGACTTTCTTCTTTCAGATGAATCCAGTCGGAGTTATATAAAAAATGGTCTTTGATCTTTCAAGCTGTTTAATGGCACTCAGCGGGGGTTGCATGCATCAGTCCAAAATAAGTTAAATAAAAAGCGCCCATCCATAAAAAAAAAAGTGTCTCACACGGCTCCGGGGGGGTGAACAAAGGCCTCCTGTAGCGAATCGATGCGTTTTTGTAAGAAAAATATCCATATTCAAAACGTAATAATCACTTTAATGTAGCTTGCGCCAACAGTTGTACACGGAAGCAGCTCTGGGAGCATGACGTATGAGGTCGGCGTTGCGCATGCGCTGTTCAGAAGTGACGCAACGTGGAAACGCAACGGAAAGATCAAAACAAAACAATGGGTCATGAATTAGAAGTACAAAACGAGGATTTGTAAAGAAGAATGTCGGAGGATTTCGATATAAGCCAAGAGGAGACTGGTTCTCCTTTGCTAAAGTAAGGAAACTTTGCTTCCTTTGCTGCTGTTAACAAACATTGGTTTTCACGAGACTCATGCGCAGCACTGAACTCATACGTCATGCTCCCGGAGCTGCTTCTGTGTACAACTGCTGGCGCAAGCTACATTAAAGTGATTATTACATTTTGAATATGGATATTTTTGTAACAAAAACGCATCGAACGAAGACATTTTTAATATAACTCCGACTGGATTCGTCTGAAAGAAGAAAGTCATATACAGCTAGGATGACTTGTGGGTGAGTAATTTATGGGCTTATATTTATTTTTGGGTGAACTAACTCTTTAAGACTCTTTCAAAGGGGATCATTTGTGAAGGAATTAACCCCTACACTGCCTAGTAAATGAAACCCAATCAAGGACGCGATCCCTTGGGATGAATCACAGACCCCACAGGAGGAAGATGAAGACGAGGGCTAATTGAGCTCCGGAACCTTCCCACAGACCGACTTCTGCTTTCGCTCAGCCGTCCGGAGCAATCCAAGTGTTTAGACCTGGAGAAAGTCCAGCTCCAGCATGCAATTATGACTTTTTGCTGACTAAACTCTTGGACAGGAGCCTAACATCACATCATAAATCAAATCACAGCACTGCGGTCAGTCGTGAGCCAAATCATCTCGTGCAGTTACATCAGCGTCATTATTAAATCAATGAGTTACGAACTGAATGAGAATTTAGACTTGAATGCTGAACCTAGGTTCATATTAACTGAGCAAATCTTATGAATAACTTGATTATTTCACAATTTGGATGTTATAAACCTCATAGTAACAAAATGGGAATCAAAATAAGTGTAAACTAACTAAAAAGTACCAAAAGTACCATGGTATTATTTTCTGGATATGGTATCATGGCAATACCACAATTTTTTTGTATTTTGTACAAGGAACTATGGCAATACCATGTTTTTCGACATATATATAATATTTCGGACATACTATGACACACCATGCTTTTTTTTTTTGTACATATACAATAAAGTGAAGTGACATGTGGCCAAGTATGGTGACCCATACTAGGAATTAGTGCATTTAACCCATCCAAAGTGCACACACACAGCAGTGAACACACACACACACCGTGAACACACACCCAGAGCAGTGGGAAGTCATTCTATGCTGCAGTGCCCGGGGAGCAGTTGGGGGTTCGGTGCCTTGCTCAAGGGCACCTCAGTCGTGGTATTGAAGGTGGAAGAGAGCGCTGTACATTCACTCCCCCCACCTGCAATCCCTACCGGTACGAGACTCGAACCCACAACCTTAGGGTTATGAGTCCGACTCTCTAACCATTAGGCCAGATATATATAATGGCAATACTATAGTATTTTGGACATTCTATGGCAAATACCAAGGATGTGTACCATGGTGATACTATAGTATTTTGAACAAGGAACTATGGCAATACCATGTTTTTAGACATGTACCATCGCCATACTATAGTATTTCGGACACACTATGGCAAATACCATGTTTTTTTTTTGGACATGTACCATGGCAATACTAAAGTATTTTGGACAAGTAACTATGGCAATACCATGGTATTCTTGGAGTACCATTTGCTATAGTACATATCAATCAATATCATGGTACATATTGCTTAACCATGGTACTGTCACAGTAACCAACTCAGTACAGAATCAATCGACCACCTCAATCAATCACGAGGCGATGCGCAAGAAGCCAAACTAGAGAAACATTTCCAAACACTGCAAAAGACCAACAACCCTCGCCATGGGTGGTCTTACATGCTTTATAAACATGCTTTCAGTGTCATGAACTCGAGCTGAAGCTCACGCCCGTCACTGACCTCTGCAGACACCCGTCTCAGGTATGCGCGCCGGTCCGGTTCCGTTGAGCGCCGCGCAGGTGAGGCCGGATCCGCAGTAGCCCAGAGTCCAGTCCGGCCCGCCGCACAGCTCCAGCTCCAGCCGAGAGCACCGCTCGCAGCAGCCGCACGGGTCACGGGCCAGAACCCGGGCCGAACCGCACCCGAGCGCGCCGACGAGCGGGCAGGAGCGCAGCGCGCACGGTACGCATTCCCGAGCCCCGAGCGCCCGAGCGCAGAAGCCCAGCACACCGAGAAGCCACAGCAAACTCTGGCGACACATCGTGACGCGCTTTGATGAAGTTCACAGAGTCTCCAACACGAGCTCGCAGACCCAAATAAATCCAAAACGAGACTACAGTGCTCAACAAACTTCCCACAGACTTTCAGCTTTACGATCCTCGCTGGGAATGACACAGGTTTCCAGTGAGTGAAATGTGCTCGTAAAGCTGTTACAGTGAGGATGATGATGATGATGATGATGATGATGAT